GTACGGTATCAACATCAATGGCGAGTACATCACTCACCTTCGATTTGCTGACGATATAGTCCTTATGGCAGAATCGCTGGAGGACCTAAACACTATGCTCAATGACCTCAATAGTGTTTCCCAATGGATAGGTCTTAAGATGAACATGGACAAAACAAAGATCATATTTAATGTCCATGTCACACCTATGCCGGTAGTTGTTGGGAACACTAAGCTCGAAGTTGTTGACGAGTATGTTTACCTGGGACAAATAGTCCGACTAGGTAAGTCCAACTTCGACCGAGAGGTCAATCGACGGATTCAACTCGGTTGGGCAGCGTTCGGGAAATTACGGCACATCTTCTCGTCAGCTATACCTCAAAACTTGAAAACGAGACTGTACACCCAGTGCGTGTTGCCAGTGATGACATACGGAACTGAGACGTGGTTCTTCACTGCTAGCCGTATGAGGAAGCTCAAGGTCGCTCCGCGAGCTATGGAGAGGGCTATGGAGAAATGAGGATATCCGCAGTAGAACCAGAGTGACCGACATAGCCCAACGGATTAGTAAGCTGAAGCGGCATTGGGCCGGCCATATAGCTCGAAGAACCGACAACCGATGGGAAAGAAAGGTTCTCGAGTGGCAGCCTCGTACCGGCAGGCGAAGTGTAGGGCGTCCTCCCACTAGATGGAGTGACGACCTGGTAAGATATGCAGGTAGTCAATAGATGCAGGTGGCTCAGGACCGTGCTTTGTGGCATTTTTTGAGGGAGGCCTATGTTCAAGAGTGGACTTGTGAAGGGCTGTAATGATGATGATGATGAAAACTAATTATGAATTTTTATGATTCTAAAATATTACATTTATTTTACCTATATAAAACTTAAGAGCTTCGGTAGCTCAGGGGTTAAGCGCTCGCTGTAAATTTCACAGAACTCAAGCATCCCGAATTCATTCCATGCATTAACCAGTGAAATTGTTTTCATTCCGATTTTAAGTAATGCTGGACGGGATGGAAACATAGCGATGGAATCTGCATGCTTGAGAATTTAAAAGAATATTTCGGAGACGCGTGAAGTCGCACAAAACGTTTAAAAACGACGCGGTGGATATTGCCTTAGCCTAAAAACACTTCAGAAATGAGAGTAGATCGGTGCCTAGCTGTGGGACTTATAAAGCCTGCAATATTAAGGTGCGGAAAATTTGAAATAAAATCGAAAACATTTCGTTTATTTCATGAATGACGCTAAACGCTTTAAGTAGATGCATGTCTAAAATTATTTAGATGAAGTATGTAGTAAGGAAACGTGTGACCTAAATACCTTAACATGCTATTATTATGGTTCAACGCATGTCTGCGCGAAATAAGAAAATTCTACCCCACATAATTTCCCTCCTTCACTTTATTTCTTTTATCTCTTAACTATTCCTAGTACGCTTACTGTAAACATAAAATTATTATGAGATTAATTAAACTTTTATAAAAAATGCATCATTTGATATTCTAATATTTGAATTTTAACACAAAGGAATACATAATTGAACGTCAAATACCTCTAGTGCAGTATATTACAAAAAATCTTTTCAGAAATATTGCAGTCCTCTTTATAAAATGGTTAATATTTGTAGAATTCAGTCAATAAGACATATTTTTAGTTACACTATACTCGTATATTGCAGTCTTCATTTTAAAATGGAACTAATATTTACTATCGCGTTTCGATAGCGAAATAATTGCTACAATGTATTTTAATTCAAATTTATATTAGTGTTTGTAATAAATAAAATATTGATTCTTTTTTATTTAAAAAGTAATCCCACCACACTATGATTTTCTCTCGTGATGGGAGTTTACATGTATAAATAGCACAAAAACAAACATCTAGACCCGGAACAACAACTTGTAGGCTTGAAAAATACTTGTTTCGTGTGGGATTCGAACGCGCAGCCCTCAGTGCTGTAAGTCATTGGTAAGCCAATGCGCCACGGAGCCGTTACTATATTCACCTCACCGTACCAAATATTCACCTTACTTATAATGTTTTTTTTTAATTAAGTTTGTAGAGCCATGCTGCAGCTATATTATGTTTCTAGCACGAATGGGTCGGCCCACCTGGGGAAGGACTACGCTCTATAAAAATACTAGCGTAAAATAGCAGCTCAATACTGATGTGTTTCGTATTATGAGTGTAGAGAACCGGAGACCTTTTTCTACCAACTTCAAAAAGGAGACGGTACTCAATTCGACTGTATGTCTTTTTCTTTTTTTATATGTGTCACCTCATAACCTTTTTCTGAGTGAACCGATTTCAATGATTTTTTTTATTTCAAAGCTGATGCTTCTCATGCGGCCCCATATAAATTTGATCAAAGTCGGACTAATAGTTTTTTAATTATTCTTTATAATTTATATTGAAGGCGGTTGTACAAAATTTTTAATTTTAAATTATAACTTTTTTTTATAGGATAAGGGCGACGAACGAGTACACAGTCCACCTGATGGTAAGTGGTTGCTGTGGCCCATAGACATCTACATTTTTCCTCGATTACGAATATCAAAATGTAGATGCGTGTTCACCCGTGAGGACTAAGATGGAATGCCTCGTTTCCAGTAAAAAGGGTCTCCGGTTATCTACACTCACCATACGAAACACGGCAGCATTAAGCTGCTATTTTACGCTGGTATTCTGTGAGAGCGTGGTCCTTCCCCGGTCGAGCCGACCCATTCGTGCTACAACTATACCAGAAATATAGCTGCAGCTTGGCTCTACCACGTATGAAACTGAAAATGAATCATTCCATCTTAGTCATCAGGAGTGAAAACGCATCTTAATTCTTAATCATGTATAAATGTAGATGTTTGTGGGTCGTAACATCCACTCATAGTTTTTTCACTCTTAATCCTTCACCATCGAGCATCACTTAAATCATCATTGATGCCCTTGTACTGTGAAATTTACTGCGGTCAAAAAACGTGGTAAAAACTATTTAATCGTCTCAGAAACAAGAGAAGGCTTATATTGCATACAGGCTGTATTTGTACTTCCAACTTTAATTACACTATAAAAATAATTATATTAAATAATTATATTAATTTGTTTGCTATCCATTATATATTATTTATATTTATGATACGAAACTAAAATATACCTTTTTTCATTATTTTCAACTCGTCTTTTGACAAATTGCTTTTCTCGTAAAACGTAACAGAGAAGAATGATAAAATCCTTGCCGTTTCAGAGAAAGGTCCAACACTGGTTATTCTTGATTCGGGCTAGATTTAGAGAGAAAATAAATTAACAGACTAATGAAAGACATTTGTAGCACGCGAACCGAAATAGAAATAGATTCTTTTATTAAATTTAGATTTTTAATAATATTTATTGAAAGTAATTTTTATGTTTAATTTACGACTGATTCGGAAAATACTTCTTTACTGGGAAAATTATATTAAACAATTAAATTCACAAAACAAATTTTAAAAAGCTTTTTATTATCATCCATAATATCCTCAATATTACAATAATTATTAATTTTCTATACAATCTTTGCTTAATAAAATTTTTGAACTGGGATTTTCTTGTTATTGTTTACCTACATTAGCTACATTGCTAAGTACGAACCTGGAAAATTATTTTATTGCACTCAAAATAATTGATACAAAAGTGAACTTAATGTCGAAAAAGTATTGTCTGCCAGCTAACCTTTCCTAGTGTGGTGAAAGCTACTGTTAAGAATTGATTTTTTTGGGAGGCGTAAATTCACGTGCGTGCTTCACCCTGACGCAACATAACGAATAAATATTTTTGTTATTATACCAAAAGTAAGAAAAAAAATATATTTGAATATAATAATAAATCATGCTTTTATTCCTAATTAATAAATTCCTGCCGAATACCAGCATCAACTAGCAGTTTAAAGCTGCTGTGATTCGTGTGGTAAGTGACGAGAACCGAAAACCTTTTTACTGGTAACGAGGCATTCCATCAAAGTCCTCAGGGACGACAACGCATTTTTTTATTATTCTAAGCCAGCGCTTAAATGCTATCCCACCTGATGGTAAGTCGTAATGCAGTTAAAGATGGTGAAGCGCACTGACTTAACAAAGACCTGCTCACTTTTACCTTGAAAACACCCACATTGTAATTGGATGGATCTCATCAGTTGATCTTTGACAGAGTTTGGCACACTAGCCTTTTGGGTAAGCTTCACAGCAAATCTGGTTAAAAGTTATCTCACCAGCCTCTAACTCGGACGCAAAGTAGACAGCCTTTCGGTTTTGAATAAGTATTCCACACCTCTGCTTTACGCATGACGAACATTGTAGCAAACCGTTTGGTTTAAACACGTAGTAAGTCGACAACGAAAGAGTGGATACTGGCCGAATGTCTAGCTGTCCGACGGTGGAAGGGAGAGGGAGGAATTAAGTCATACAATTCCTGTACACACTCTCCAAAATTTATCCTGTAGAAAACCGAAAGGCTTGCTACTTTGCGTCCATTTTCGAGGCTGGTGTGATTGGTTTTAACCAGAATCGCTGTGAAGCTTACCCGAAATGCTAGTGTGCAAAACTCTGTCAAAGGCCAAGGGTAAAAAGACAAGTGCTTCCCAAATGTTCTCGAGTGCCTAGCCCCTTATGTGCTTGGCATACCCTAGAAAGTCCCCAGCTGACCGATTTCTGTGAAACTCGTACTGGTGCTCACTGAGGAGGTCATTCTCTTCTAAGTATGCCTTGATGTGGGCGTTCAATATACCCTCCATAATCTTGTAGAATATGGAGGTAATTGAGATTGTCAGGGTGGGACTTCTACATTTTGATTCTTAATCGAGGATAAATAAGATGTCTATGGGACATTGACTCCACTTCAGTTGAAATGTGTGGTCGTTTGTCATTCTTATTACTTTTAAGGAAAAATAAACTTATTGCTTTAATTTTTGTTTATTTACATTAAATTAACGTTTATTATTTATTCATTCCAGATTATGAGACCCTGTGCGGGGTGCAGCCTAGTTCTGGCGCTATGTTGTGGAGTATAGGCGTTTTCCTTCTTACACAGATAGGCTTATGTCAATTTACGACAGGTAAATATTTTTATCATCTTGAATTATTAAAACGAAGAAACTTCTAAAATTACTAAAATTTCCCCGTTTTACCAACTAACATATTAAGGGAAAATATTAAAAAAATATATACATATATTGTACTTGATAAAACAGGTACAAGAGCCGTAAAAACTCATTGGTTTAACCCTCGCTGTAAATTTACGCGTATAACACAGTACGCGAGGAACCTGCGTTCGATCCCCGCCGGCACCAATAAAATTTTCAATCGCAATTTTAAGCGCCGATTAACCACAAGTCCGAAGATGAAGGAAAACATCGTGAGGAAACCTGCATGTCTTTTAAATAAAAAAAATATTTTGAGGACATGTGAAGTCCGCCAAAACGCATTGGGGCATCGTAGCGGACGTTTCCTTGCCTTAAAATCTTCTTTGAAGTGAGAGGAAGCCTGTACCAAGCAGTGGAACGTATATAGGTTGTAACTTTACTTCTAAAACAGGTACAGGTATCCCGTGTAGTAGCGGTGTAAAATTATCCACTATACCCCATGTTGTCCCGTGAGTATCGTAAGAGGTGATAGAGGGAAACTGAAAATGGATATGAGCAGCATCTTTTTCATAACAACTCAATATAGTAAAAAAAACATGCGTATGTGTGTATCCTTTTGTACGTACGTAGAAAGTTATACTTCTTTAGCGAAAAAAAAAAAACAAAAATAACTAAAAATAACTACCTTAATTATAGTTATCACTTCCCTCGAAAACTTCGGAGACAGTTACTCAATGAAGTTGTCGCTTTGAGGTATCAGTGTGCGCGCGCATCGCAACAACTTCATAGTGTGTTTTTGGTTGTTGGTGGGCGCGCGCATCGTAAAAAATTCACTCTCATAATTTTTCCCAAAAGAAGTATAACTTCAAAAACTGCGGTCGACAATATACTTACCAAGCGTAGCAACTATAGAAAATATCCTCAATATGTGGCAATCTATGGAGGAGGCAAATGTTCAACAAAGGATTTTTGAGAAACTGTAATGATCATGTTAATGTTGATAGAAAAAACACGAAAATAAGTAGAGGGGGTTTCGTCAAATTTTCGTAGCTTCAGTTTCTACAAAAGAGTGACTTCAAGCTGCAGTTGTCTTTCTTGGATATCTTGTTTAGACATAAATTGATCTGATAAAAACTTATTTATTATGTCTTGCCTTCTCTGAACGATAAGCGAAATTATAAAGTTAGTCGTAGATTCCTTAATCAAATTCTAACTGCAATACAGTCAAATTTATTGTAATAAACAAAATATAATACGTTGCAACGACTGTACGGTGTTTTTTTTTTTCATGATAATCACATTGCAACCAATCCTTTTAAATTTGGAATAAAATTATATCACGCTATGATTATGATAGGAAAATTAGGGAAAACATAACATTACTCTTTTTTATAAACATGTAATATCATTAGCTTTAGGTATTTATTTGATACTAGCGGCAGGATCTTTTAATGTGGCGTTATTTAGATTTAAGAAAATTAAAGACCATTTATTTTAATAATTATATAGTTTTAAAAAATCTCTATGATAAAATAGATACATTTATACAATTTAAGATAGTTGACAAATTTTATTGCAATAAGTTCAGCGATTTTAAATACTCGTATTAGCCTGGACAGACAGACATTTTTTTTAGAAATGGTTATTCATGTCTCTATGGCATGTAAATAACCCTGAGTTAATATACGGCAGTTTATTCAATATTACAGACTTACATTTTAATTAAATTTATATATGTATAGATTTAACATAATTATTAGACTTATTTATTCAAATTATAATGAATTGTTCATTGAGGAACGAATTTTGCATTCGTCAAATAAAAGTTATCCGTCACGAAAACTACGCCTCACTGAATATAAAAATGTAACTACTGAAATTTATTGTTCGTGCAACTGTAGTTTTAAATTTGTTTATATTGTATTTTATTTTATAAATAACTTTTATCTCAGCATTGAAAAATCGGCCCATAACCATAATATAAATTGATCAAGACATCAAAAATATTTTATATATATTATATATATAGATAATTTATTTATTTAAGGGAATAATTTTTATAATTTAATAAGTATAACTAAAACTAAGCCAATAATTTTCCACAGATAAGTTAATTTATTACAAAAAAAAAAACAAGTTACAGTAGAGTATAACTAAGAAATAAAATATAATATTAAACGTTATAGAAACAATTACAATATATTGTAAGATGAAGTTGCTAGTTTCTGTCTCTTAAAATGTCAAGGAGCTTAGAGATTCATCATAGTTTTTTTTTAAATTTCTTTAGGTGTATGAAAACTACAATACGAAGTTGTATGGGATTCTTGGTATAAGAATGGTAAAGTAAAAAAATTACACAATAAGAAATACATCTAACCTATATTAAATAAAGAATTATTCTATTCTATTCTATTCTAATGGAGCGTTGTAGCTTGTAGCTCAGGAGCGTAGCACGCGCCGTAAATTTCACAGTAAGCCATCAATCCGGGTTCGATCCCCGCCAGCACCAATGAAAAAGTTTTTGCAATTTTAAGTGCTGATTTCTCACGTGCTCAACGGTGTAGAGAAACATCGTGAGGAATCTAGCAGATCTGAGAAATTTTGAAAAATATATCAAAAATATGTACAGTCCCGCACTACGCATTAGGGCTAGACGGCTGAGATTTCCTTCCCCTAAAAACTCACTCAAAAATGAGAGGAGACCTGCGCCTAAGAGTGGGACATATATAGGCTGTAATTTTAGTTTTTACGTATACGAATGAATTATTGTGTCAAAATTTCAAAGCAATTGGTGAAGTATATCGGTGGACATTTCCTTGTCAAGCTTGGAAGGAGGACCGACGATAGCAGCACCAGAACTCTCACTTCTTTAAAGCTTTTCGCGGTTGGTTATATCGATCTTTTTAGATTCAGATTATTTTAGTATTTGCCGCAGTAGCCTCTTTCCCTGAGAACACAACGGAATAATGTACTCTTTTACGTGACCATCATAAGGCGTAACATTGCCGTTATAGTCTATCAAAGTTCACAACTGTACAAAGGCCTCCCCTAGGATTGCCTCATCTGGGGAATATTTGCCATAGTTGTCACGCTTTATTTGGCGTGTTGGTAACAGCAGTGTTATTTGGAAGACTCAAATACTTATCCCCTAGTTTATTCCATCGCCTCTTAGGACACTCACGAGACGAGATATGTTAGTGGATATTGGTATTATTGTGCATGTAACATTTCAATAAATAATTAATTCATCAGATTCAACAACTACATCAGAAGATCACACGGTAACATCATTTTACGTGCTGAGCACTGGCATTGTCCCAGCACCTGTCATGCTGCGACTTGGCAACTCTACAATAGATAGTACAAAGTCGTTCAAGGTGCCGCAACCAACGTCAGATAGGGTTGACATTGAACGAGAGAAACCAGTGACAGGCCAAACCGAAGTCATAAAATTTGATATGGTACCCCATGTCGTGTCAGCGAAAAATACTTATTTTGATCACGATGTAAGATACGGGCCCACCTTCGAAGACACTCCTAAAGAAAACGTCACTAAAATAACCGTACAGCTTGGAGAAGATGCTTATTTAAACTGCAGAATTAGTCTCTTACAAGACAAAACGGTAAGTTATGGAGATTTTCTGTTTTTCTTTATTTTTTATAGATAGTTACGATATGATAATGATATCCGAACTTTGTGTATATATGACTTACCTCATTTTTAAATTATTTTTGGTCATATTATTAAAAATAAAATTATGAAAGGTATAAATAAAGTAACGTAGGTATATAATATACCTACGATACGAGAAACTCTACCACTTTTTGAAGTAAGTTATAAGAAATTATGGTTGAGCTAAATTGAATAAACACGTTTGGGGGAGGGGGGTGGGGGAGGGCGAACCTAACCTAACCCTACCCACGGCTCTTGGATTATGGCCGTCCGCTGAGGCTACAATCACTTCTGTAATTGAGCCGACGCAGTTTCGCTGTGGTGGAGGTTGGCCTGCACAAGACTAGTTTTAAGCTAAGGGCACGCTATCATTGACCGCGTCCGCCCCATCCTCGCCCAAATATAAGCCTTCCACCAGATCTCGGGTCTCTTCATTAGCCACCGAGCCGAAGTTGAACGGCAAAGTGCAGCCCTCCTCGTCATTCAAGAAACTGCCGCTGAGCCCGATCTCCACTGGTGGCTTCGACTCGGTGGAAATTATGGATTTCAACGCGTCATTTACTTATTTAAATTGTAATAAGTGAAGGGGGAGGGTTGGAATTTCAGACGAAAATATTATTAAAAACAATGCTGCGAGTATTAATTCTCTCACCAATATTATTATTTTATTTTTATTTCGTATCTAATATATTTCCGTTTACCACTCCAAGTAAGTACAAGTAAGCCTAAAATACTTGTGATAAGAGAGGATCACGACAGTAGTGAAAAGGTGGATTGGAACCCATGACTTTCAAGTTCGCGATTTGCATAACCATTAAGCTACTAATAATTTTTCTTAATGTATAATGTCAAAAAAATACAACTCTTCTGTTTATTTAGGTATCATGGGTACGTCGCAGAGGTAAAGAAGAATTGCCTGAACTTCTCACTGTTGGGGCCGTAACATATGCTGCTGACAATCGAGTCACCGTTGCACAGAGATATCCTGGAAATTGGAGACTTCTAATCAAAGAGGTGAAACCGTATGATGAAGGGGTTTATGAATGTCAAATATCAACGCATCCCCCAAGAGTCAGTCGGATCTACTTGCATGTCAACAGTAGGTTCATTATTTAATCATTATTTCTGTAAATCAATTAATTTGTAATGTTACGCAAACACTACACATTTAAATGAAATGAGTTCGAGTGCTTTACAGTACCCACGGTCACGTTACATGTCATAGTTACCTTCAGTTTAAAATAACTCCATCACAATGGGTGCTCAAAACGTTGGGAATATAAAATAAGTTAATTTACGCGATAAAATCAAATAAAAAAATAATTAATAAAAATCAAATATTTAAATAAAAACTAAAAAAAAAAACACGCTTATGTAGGTAACCGAACTAAAAATTATAAAATAATTTTCAATAAGTTTAAAATAAGAAAATATTGATTAATATAAAAAAAAAAAACATTTTATTATAAAAAGCGTGGGGTGCTTTTTCCGATATCTTTTTATGATGACGCTAATTTAACAAATCCACAAAATTATTTACAACCAATGAAATCAAATACCCCAAGCAATTTTACAATAAAATGAGATAATTTTTTATGTTAATCACTATTTTCTTATTTTAAACTTATTAAAAATTAGTTTCTACTTTTTAGTTCGGATATCTACAAAAGAGTATTTTTCGAGTTTTTTTAACTATTATTTTTTTACTAATTTTTAGTGCGGCTAACTAAAAAGCGTTTGTTTATTTTGGAACGACGTTCTTTTACGCGGCTTACAATGGATTGAACTGGCAGAAATCTCAGTTATATTTAGAATTATTTGGAAATCCTGAGCAGGATCCGCAAGGAAAATGGGAAAAACTATTTAAATTATTGCGATAAGCGTGCGAAGTTTCAAATCAATCAGCCGTTTTAATGGGCATGAAAATCACATTCAATTATTCTGCTATATAGATACATACCAAGCTAATAAAAGCGTGTTAAAACTAGTTTCATTTCTATTAATATTAAAAAAAAATGCCACATGATAATTATCTGAGGAATTGTTCGAATTAATGCCAGCCGCCAAATTTCACGAACGCACATCGCGACAGAACTCCCGATACCATTCACACCATCTGAATGATTGGCGGTCCACCACTGTGCGATTTAGAAGATGTTTTCTTCCTCGCACGACTTCCTTGTGGAATCGATTACCATCAGCGAATTTTCCGGACCGATACGACTTAGGGACCGTCAAGAAAAGAGCGTACTCCTTTTTAAAAGGCCGGCAACGCATCTGCAATTCCCTCCCTGGTGTTGCAGTTGTTCATGGGCGGCGGTAGTCACTTACCATCAGGTGAGCCGCATGCTCGTTTGCCTCCTCTCCTATAAAAAAAATAGGTTGACACTGCTTACAGAATACAAGAAAGCTTGAATTACTGGTTCAATAAACTGTTTCGAAATAGTTAATATTGTTGCACTTACTTAAGAAAGGTTTGTTTTGGATCGTATTTCATTATTTCTATACGTGTTATAAGCCAGTACTAGAGAACAATTCACCCGTGCGATAGTGCAATTTACGACCTATGATCATATAGCCCTGTGTAGTAAATGACACTGTCTTAGCAAAATAAATATCTATTCGTTGCGCTTTTATATTTTAAGAACGTAGATCTTGATATATCAAATATTTAGAGCCGTTTACTTACCGTTTAATACATTAACATATATTTTTCTGTGTTTTTTAAACGTCAATAGCATATTTTCTTTTATCGCGTGGAGGCAATTTACATACATAAATTTCACAAGGACAATTAAAACAAAAGTTAAACATCCAGACTCGAAACAATTAGTTAGGCCTTACAAAAACTTCTTCCGTGAGGGATTCGAACCCGCAGCCCTTGGCACTGTAACGCAACGCGAAGTCACTGCGTCACGGAGCTGTCATATTATATTATAATATATGTATATATATAACATATATATATATATATATATATATATATATATATATATATATATATATATATAACATATATATATATATATATATATATATATATATATATATATATATATATATATATATATATAAATATATATATATATATATATATATGTAATATAAAGAGGACGAGGAAGGAAAATAATGAAAACTGTCGAACAACACACAGAAAATATATCTTGAGTGACACTTTTAACTTACATAATATTTTTAATTAAATAACATCATATTATTGCAAAAAGTATAATATAAAACTACAATATTATATACATTTTTAACACATAAATGCCTTTTTTCCTGTGGGTTGCAGGACGGGGTATTTATTAAAACCGACGTTAGTAGTGAATGGATCATAATATAATATCATTGTATAAAAACCTTATGTGTACAAAATGTGTACATTATTTTTCAAAACATTCTACGTGTCAAAAATTTTTTGTTAGCTCCGCAAGTTTGGGTAGTAGATGAAGCCGGCGCACCACTTTTAGAAAAGTATTACGAAGCGGAATCAACACTAGCCCTCGTCTGTAGAGCTCGCCATGTTGAGACGCCGACTGTTCTGACCTGGATACACGAAGGCAGGGCACTCAACGCCGACACTACTAGAGGTGGCATCAGGTAAAATTTCTTTTGTGATTTTTGAAGAATATCTTCACATTCTTTTGTCTAATGTGATGAAAATAAGACAAGAAAGTTGTAGCGTCTAATTATTTTGGGCTTTATTTATTCTTTCTAAACTTAATTTTGAGAGTAGGCAATTGTTGGACATATTTCTAAAAGTAATATTACGTTTTTTTATAAAATAATAATGACAAACGAGGATACAGTCCACGTGATAGTAAGTCTCTCCTCTATTAAAAAGCAAAATGCAAAATAAAAAAAAAAAACATGCGTGAATGTCGTGGAACACTCGATTGGAACGAAGTTACTTTCAGAGTATATTATTATTAATAAACGTATTATATTATTGATTAACAAATAGCGTCTATTAAAATTAAGCGTCATTTAAAATTATTTTTTTTTATTGAATTTACATGTGGTATTGTGTGACACATTACAGCATATGCACCCAGCAAGGGTATAACAACATCAAATAAAGCTAGCCTTAATTCTAATACTAATATTTATATATTTGTATACATTACAGGTTTATTGTAGTATTTAGTATACGTTATATTACTTTATTTATTTATTTCTATTTAACATAATATTCATCTAATTTATAGTAACATTTCTTGATCAAAAAGCTATTTAGTGTTATCACAAATTTCTTATATTCTTCCATCTCTCTTATATCTGTGGGTAATGTATTATATAATTTAATTGCCATGGAATATGGTCCAGAACTGTATAAAAATAAAGTGGTTTTAGGCAATGTTAATTAATTTCTCTTCCTAAGTTGTATATTAAGTCTATTTATACTATTATCACCAGCTTTTTGAAATATATCTATATAATTTCTTACTAATTTACATGATTCTAATATGTATAAAGATGTAACTGTTAATATCTTGTATTGTACGGAGTATGGTCTACACCTTTCCCTAGACTCAATATTTGCTAGAATTCTTATGCATTTTTTTTTTGAGCGATAAAGAGTATTTGGATGTCTGTGCAGTTTCCCAAAAAGGGTATACGGTTATATTTCTTTCATGGCAAGAAAAGAAATAGTGTGAGGAAGATGGATATTATTCCATCACGCTCGCACTATAGAAAGGGGGTCGAGACGGAAAAAATAGCCTCTATACGTCAAATTCGTACCGTGCGATAAGAAACTTCGTTCCAAAACTAACGAACTTACAATCCACGTCCACCTGACATTGATTGTATCTACTGCAGTCTATGGACAACTGCAGCCAACTTCAAACAAAGAAGCTAACAGATTTGTTGGCATGCATAAGGACTAAAACGAAAAGCCTTTCAGTCTGTAACTATACTGGCTTTCTATATCCTTTAGTTGGTAACACAGTAGCACAAGCATTTCGCAGTAAAAATAGATAAAAGGCGACCTACGACCTAATAAAGGTGTTAGTTTTCTTTCCTTCTCAAATCTTTAATGAAAATAAATCTCTATGTTAATTATAATAGCGTAAAAACGGAGCAAGTGCCTGGAGGAGCAGACAGTCTGTTGCGGCTCGCACGTGTCAACAGCAGCGACGCAGGAAATTATACGTGTGCGGTACGGGGCGCACGTCCCCATACCGTTTCCGTGCACGTTCTCAATGGTACGGGGCTTTCTCATTTGAGATTATAATTGTAAAACATCAAAGGCAAAATTTTCAAATGTCAGATAAAAGTTATTCATCAAATATGTTATCTGAATGAATATTGAATTGAATAACAGTGTGATTTGTTTATGTTGTGTGTTATCCCATGAATAAAATTTATCTGAGAATTTAAAAATCGCACGAAAGTGAAATAAAAGTTTTATTATCTTTTTTACTTGTTTTGTCTTGCCTAGTTTTTTAATTGTGTTTAGTAATGAAAAGGTATCAATCAAAATCAAAAGGTATCGAAATGTGTCTATATCTGCTTTTCCTTCATTAGCTCGCAAAAGTGACAAGTAAGATTTGCCTTAATAGCCACACTGTGCAAATGCAAATCGTACAAGTGCAAATCGTTTACGTAACGATTTGCACTTTAACGATCGCAATACTACAAAATGAACCTTTGACGCCTGCCTCTCGTCGCCGGTCTGTCAATTTTACGAATAATGTAACTAAACGGGATTATTGCGATATTTGTCGTAAGCTATGAGGTATTTCTGCCATTTCCCAAAACTGCCTCTTACGATTTTTATCTAGATTTTAAATCAATAAGTTTCATGGTTTATACAGTACTGTTGACCTATAACAAATGTGTGTAATTTTATTTATGTTGACGAAGCTTTTGTTTAAATTGAAAAATTCGAATAATGGAAAATTTTACAAGATTTTCATTGCAATAAATTACTAAAATTACTCACGCATTTTCAGTAAAATTCACCTGCCTAAAGTTTGGTACATAATATACTTAAGAAAATATTTTATCGAATAAAGGTGACAGATAAGCTCCCAGTCCACGTGAGGGTGAGTGGATGCTGTGGCGCATAGATACTTACCTTTATCATCGAATGTGATTCAAAATTTAGATAAGTTGTCACGCAGATCATCAATGAGCCATATTGGAATGGGTGATTGACAATCGAACAGACGGTCCACATGATAGTAAGTGGATACTATAGCCCATAGACATATAGGTCTATCCTCGATTTATAACTAAAATGTCTATATTGTAACCCCTGAGAACTAAGATGGAATGCCTCATTTCCTGTAAAAAGGGTCTCAGGTTCTCAACATGCACCATACTAAACATAATGTCTAGCATTAAGCTGATAATCTGTGAGTGCGTGGTCCCAATAAAACCGACAGTGCTACAGCCATTCGTGCTATAACCATAATATAGCTGCAGCATAACTCTACCACATATAGAAGTTCATGTTTACGATGCTAATTTTTTAAAACTATCACCTACCTTTAATTGAATTTTCATAAAAAATAATAAAATAAAGTATGTGTTATTATAAAACTCGCATATATTTTACCCAAATTTTATAAATACCGTAGGTTGTTTATGTAACTAGAAAATGTATAAAATATAGAAGTAAATATCCTTAACACGAGCCTTTGTTCCAGAAGAAAGTCTTGCGGAACTGCACGCTGGAGCAATGTCAATGCAACCATCTCCAAGAAGTCTCGCTGCACTAACAACGATTATTATATTTATGGCGAAGAAACCCACATTACATGAAATAGTGGTTCTCTTTGCGATAATTGCGCCTTTTTTATGGGTCATTGACCTAAAAAATTCAGTGATACGACATATTGACTTATTGTTACCAACGTGATAAATTATGTTAGTCTATACGTATTAAATAATGTTTAAATTTGATTTTAATATACCTAATTAATAAAAATAGTTACATAAAATAAAAAGTGCATTATATAAACTCTGTGTTTTAATTTAATTTACTACTGTTCCTCGTGTTACCATTCCAGGAGAAGCTTATGCTTCCTGGAATCCATCCCTATGGTACCCATTTTCTATGATAGACAAGATTTTTAACAGTGGTAGAGCCACGCGGCAGCTTTTGCTGTCGCACGGATGGGCCGGTTGAACCGGGGTGGTACCACGACCTCACAGAAAACCAGCGTGAAGTAGAGGTTTACCTCTGCGTTTCGCTTGGTGAGTGCAGGTGGCCGGAGGCCCTTTTTACAGGAAATGAGGCATTCCATCTTAGTCCTCACGGGTGACAACGCATCTACATTTTGATTTGTAATAGAGGATATATGTAGATGTCTATGGTCCTCAGCAACCACTTACCATCAGGTGGACTGTGAGCTCGTTTGTCACCCTAATCCTATAAAAAAAAAGATCAGAAATACGGACCAGCCAAAAGGAACTGGTGTGAAACATTAGCATGAAACTGTTGGTAAATACTTCGGGTACTGGGACCACTAATCCACCTACTGCGTGGCGATTATGGCAAATACAGAGAGTATAACATACTACAACGATAACAAGAGAGGCCCATGCCCAATATTGTTCTGCTGTGGGCTTGATTAAAAGGAGACAGATTAAGAATGTAAGTAGGTATGGCAACCACACGGTTGATCATAAGTTGTATTATCATTCCTAAAGACTGTGACCCATGGTCGCATTAGTAAGTCAGTTAAAGTTCCGTTTTAGCGGTTTTTTTTTCATAAAACTAAAGTGACGAACGTACTTAAAGCTGACGTGATAGTAAATGCATCAGATGAAATTCTGCAGCCCATGGTCATTTGCAGCCAAAGCAAGCTGCAGCTGCTTTGTGTTCTGATGATTAAGATGGAATGTCGCAGCCTCTCATTAAACTAGTTTCTATACCATTTAGACTGAAAGACAACAAAGCTTGCACTGGCGGCTAAAATAAGTACTACTACCATATAGCTAAATTTTGTACTGAAATATTATATCGACGGTGGAAAGGAAAAACCCTTGAAGCGACAATTTTGAAATTGTGCAGTAGAGCCAATCAAAGTTTTAATTTTCCGAAAAAAAATTATAAAAAATTTAAATTTGAAGTTAGAGCGACAAGATAAAAAACAGTTTCTTTATTTTTTATTTACTGTCCACTATTAAACTTAGAAAAATATGCTAGCATGATGAAAGGATTTACGTGTCGCTTAATTATTTTTTGGCAAATATAGCGGAAGGAAAAACACATTAAATGCCAATTCAGTACTTTGACAAACGCTAGGAAAATCACATGAAGTGACAAGCTATGCATAATATAACTAGGAGGAAAAACAACTTAAGACGATCGAGCATAAGATACATGGTTGTGGAAAAACGAATTAACTAACAAACCCCTAATATGCTAAGTAGAGGAAAAACACGATATGCATTAGCTATCTAATAATTAAATGTTGTATTTTTAACTCAAGTCCCTACTTTCTTTCCCAAGGATACCAAAAAAAAAAGGAATATAGAGATAAAACAGTGCCTTTTATTGTTTTAAACGCTTACTGGTACAACATTTTACACTGAAAAACCCCATTCCAATGGGAAAACAAACATGAAGTGAAGTATAAGAACATTACTATCTTCATGAGTGATTAAACAATATTATAAACAAGGAACACAGCGTACCGTTTCTGTATTGCAAACATACATTGATCTTATAAACCTTACTTTCACTATTAGAGACTTTAACAGCCATAAATTCTGTATCAAAATATTTCAAATTACTACCTATTTCAGTCTTGTCTTAGTCAACGTTGCTAGCACTAAGTATACCTAAGTAAAATTGTGAAAACAAAACAATTAGGCATTTGTTTCTGTATTGCAAACGTACTTTGAACTTATAAACCCAACTTTCAAAAATAGAGATTTTAACAAATATAAATTCTGTATCAAAATATTTCTAATCACTATTAGGCACCTATTTCAGTCTAATGACTTAATCAACATTGTTAGCACTATAAGTAAAATCTAAAAAAACAAGCATAATTAAATGATTAATAGGAACATTAAAATCACATACTCATACTATCAAATTTAAGGTTCGATGTTGCTTCTTGTACTATAAATCAATAGCATCCTCAATATCTGTTTCTGCTAACGTATCAATACCAACGACGTGAGGTATAATAACACATTCGTTGTGAAACAGTCTGGTATGGCAAAACTCTCACAAAGTTTTATCAAATATTCATATTAACAGTAACTGGGTAAAGACTTCTCGTAAAACTGTTTCACAATTTGTGAAGTTGGAGCTTTGTTTATAGATATAATTTTTCTTCAGCATCAGGTTACATAAAGTATTTAACTGCCGTCACGTTGAGATTTGAATTTTATGAACGGCGGCCAGTACAATTCTATTTTTGTTTTGACCAGGGCAGGAATCCGAATACAGTATTAGATGTTTTACTGTGCCACGTTCTTCCATCAATTGTATGTATTTTTGTATAATAGATCTTATTTCATTGCCTCCTCTCTTACCTTCAGATTCTTCCCATATGTAACAGAAACCGTCTCTTGTACCATTTTCATAAAAGCAAACACTGTACATGGCATATTTTCGTGAATAGTACAAGACCATACTCTCACCATGTGGAGTATTTAAAACCTTTTGCAGGTCGAATGACACACATACTACATCATTGCGCTTTTGGGCGAGTTCTCGATGTTGACTGTACCTCTCTTTACTGGTTTCTTTTTCCTTCAGATGTTCCTCTTTCTGCGTTTTACTCTCTTCAGTATTTAAAGCATCAAATTTCATACATTTTATGCATTTATACTTTTTGGGAACGCGAAATCCGATATTAAATTCACTCTTGAAAATATTTAAAAAGACTTTCTCCCTGCCCACGTCGACACATTCTGAAGTTTTCTGATCCTTGTAAATGCGATATAATTTTTTTTGGTTTTTAAATTCAACGGGTAATTAAAGTTTCTTGACGGTCCCTAAGTCGTATCGGTCCGGAAAAATCGCTGATGGTAATCGATTCCACAAGGAAGACGTCCGAGGAAGAAAACATCTTCTAAATCGCACAGTGGTGGAGCGCCAATTATCCAGATGGTGTGGATGGTATTGGGAGTTCTGCCGCGATGTACGTTTGTGAAATTTGGCGGCTGGGATTAATCCGAACAATTCCTCAGAGCACTCCCCGTGGTAGATGCGAAAGAAAATGCAAAGGGATGCAGCATCTCTTCGCAGTGCCAATGAATCGAGCCGATCGGAAAGGACTCGGTCGTCGACGATTCGAGCCGCTCTGCGCTGGATGTGGTCAAGTGAAAGGAGTTGGCACTGGGGAGCCCCTGCCCAGAGATGGGAACAGTATTTTCTACGTGGTAGAGCCATGCTGCAGCTATATTATGGTTGTACCACGAATGGTTCGGCTCGACGGGGAAGGACCACGCTCTCACAGAAAACCAGCGTAAAATAGCAGCTTAACGCTGCTGTGTTTCGTATGGAGAGTGTAGAGAACCGGACACCCTTTTTACTGGCAAAGAGGCATTCCATCTTAGTCCTCACGGGTGACAACGCATCTGCATCTTGAGTCTTTATTGAGGATAGATGTAGATGTCTATGGGTCACAGTAACCACTTACCATCAGGTGGACTGTGTGCTCGTTTGTCACCCGATCCTATAAAAAAAAATATTCCATGTGAGGCCGAACCTGCGCCTTGTAAAGTTGTAGGCGGTGTGCCAGCATGTAATACTGTCCCGCTCTGCTGAGCACACCAAGCTTTTTAGAGGCCGATTTTGGCCTTCTCTTCCAAGTGACCACGAAACTGCACGTCACTCCATATGTCGACTCCGAGGATTCCGATACTGGCTGAGGTAAGAAGGGGAGTGCCTTGAAATTGATAACACGAAAATTTACGTATTAACAACTACTTACCTTTACTAAAACACGCATTCTCTGTGACTGCTGTTCGCGATGCGACGAAACGTGCTGTGCCTCGACGGCAGTTCACCGATGAATGAAGCGCCACGTCACAATCATTTCCTAATATAGGTGACGTCACTTACACAAAAGAGACCGAAATTCATTGCTTGTAGCGACAAGACTTGTTTTGAATAGTTAACTTAAATACACAATATCGTAAACAATGCTTACTTTAACCGACTATCGTCTTCATTTATGAAGTTAGCGAAATTAAATGAACCGACGTTTCGGGAATAAAAGACTATGTCGGTTAATTTAAATATTTATGTGGTTTTTATGTGTATGTTTAATTTTACCGACAACACTGCTTTTTAAAGCGATTGCCAAAACAACTGAAATCCATAATATACTATAATAATAATGTAGGAAAAACACATTAACTCCATCATACAGATATAAGGTAAGCAAGGAAAAACGAATGTAGCGACTGAGCACCAACGGAATAGGAGTAAGCAAAAACACATGTAGTGTTTAAAATAACATTTCCTATGACGGAGAAAAACGATTTAAGTAACCTATAATATTCGAAACAAAAAAGGAAAAACACATTAAATAATAATCTAATATGGAGTCGGTACTTCAAGCGGTAAATGGACCAAAATTGCTTTAATTCTTTGTCACTTCATTTAGCGTCTAAAAAAATTGAGCCTAAATGTGTCATTACTTTAAGCGACACCAAAGTGGTCGGATCACCACGAAACTAAGACCAATCGACGCAGAAAAAATCGCTGATTTCAAATATGTATATAACTCATTTTCAACCAAAGTGTCGCTTCAAGTGTTTTTCCTTTCCACCGTCGATATGGTAAATGTTCTTATTTTTGTTCTTCCTTATCGTCCCATAAAAGTCTACTGCTGGACATAGGCCTTTCCAGTTGTCCTCCCTAGGTTCCCCTTAGCAGGCGGAATG